GAAGGATATCCGGATGGATGTTTTTTGAAACAGATGTTAATCCGGATATCCGAATTGTCATCCGGATCCCAACACTATATGCAAGTGAATACCGGTAATATTGGTTTGAATTTTCCCGAATTTGCCCGATCGGAAAATGTCGAAGGGTGTTTTCCTAGCAAAGATCCCATATATTCGGTTCCTCTGACAATTCGTTTTCGTGGCAGCCAATTCGTTTAAAGCCATATGATATATGCGGTGTATATAGGATGATACATTTCAGTGATTGACCAATCGGATAAAGACCGCTATGCTACCTGAAGAGACTACCTGATATACAACCCGGATTAATCTGAACATAACAAAGCGAGACTGCAAAACAAAAACAAAAAAATATAAAAAACGGCCATCTAAACCAATCTTGGTTCACTAAATAAAAAATGTTGGACATGCGATTTTACTATATATAAACTACTATCTTTATCTTTAAACCTAACCCTAATATCAATCAATTTTAGTTAAAAAGCAGAAAAATTGGGATATACCTGGCTTTAGCCATCCTCTATAATTGTTCGAAGTGTAGCGAGGACTTACATGTACAAGTAAAACTTAAAAAATGTCTGTCTGTCCGGCACGTGACATAATTGTGATTGGCTGATGATCTGCACATACTAGAGGCCTGAGCAGAATTTTGTCCATCCACTGACAAATCACAAATGATAGATTATTTGCACATATTAGGGGCCTAAGCAGAATTTTGTCCGTCTGTCCGCCCACACGACCAATCATAGAAATGTTTGGATAAGTTTTTTAATTCGCTCTTGAAAACCATAATGCATCATTTATTTTTGAGCTTATGCTTATTGATGAATTAGCTAAATATCTTGAAACTCATTTAATTGAAGTGGAAGTTCATTGGCTTCGTTTAAATTTTAATTATATTTATCAAAAAAGTTTCGAGAATAATAAGCTTCAAGAATTATAAAATGGTGTAATGTTATTATAGCAAAGTATCCTAATAAAATTTTTGAATCAAAAGACTTCGTTTCGCTTCAAGGAAATAAGTTAATTTCACTTATAAGTCGAGATGATTTACAAATGGAAGAGGTAAAAATTTGGAATCGTGTTATTGAATGGGGAATTGCACAAACCCCTGACTTACCGTCAGACCCTGAAGACTGGACCCATGAACAATTTTTGGCTTTAAAAACCACGTCGAAATTGTTTACCTCTTATCCGTTATTTTCAGATGTCCGGTGATGATATTATTGATAATGACAACCATATCAACAAATTTTGGATAAAAAAATCTTTGGAAAAATATAATAAAAAGACTTTTATCTCCGAATAGACCGATATTATCAAAATTCTTCCGCCCCGTGTAATTTTAACATCAACATTACCGAATAGAATTACTGAAACATTTTCAACAGTTATCAATGAAGCACATGCAGCAAAAATTACTTCATGGGTTGATAAAAAAGCTGATGCATATTTTACAACAAATAATCCATATGAATTTAAATTACTTCTTCGTGGAATTTGAGATGGTTTTACTGCTAATTCATTTTGGAATTTATGTGATAAGCAAACACATCTTGTTGTAGTTATGAAAGTTGAAGGTGCAGATGAAATTCTTGGTGGATATAATCTTATTGGATGGGATAAACCAGTTAAAGGTGGATTTCATAAGAAATGCAATGATAGCTTTATTTTTTCATTGAAAAATGGTGCCAATCAAAATTCTATTTTAAGTTGTGTAAAAGAATCAGAAAAAGTGATTCTTTGTAATTCTAGTTATGGACCAGTTTTTGGTTATGGCGGAGAATTAGCTGTGTTTGTTGATTCTAATCAAGCTCGTCAATGTCAGAGTTATCATCATTCATATGAACAACTAATTAGAGATACATCTACTTACGAATACGAAAGCAATCGTTCATATTTTTTTGTGGATGAATATGAAATACTACAGATTAGTAAAAATTTATAATAATCATTATAGATTAAAAATGTAGCACAGTTAACATGTGCTATATGCAATAAAGGAAATTAAATTAGTTTTGTGGAAATTTGATTATAAAATCTATATTAAATCATAAGAAGTATAAAATTTAAAAGGTTATACTGTAAATTTTATTATAGCGTTTTGCAAAAAGATGTGACACCATGATTTTATGATGATTATTGAGGAAACTTCTAAGATTCTGAATTGTCTATTTATTATATTTTCAATCAGTTATATTTATATTATTTGAAATCGGTAAAATTTTTAATTGATGAAGCAGCCACCATAAGGTAACTGTGTCATAGTGGACGTGATGAATGTGGATCCACAAAATAATTAATTAATAAACTCTTACTTGTCACATATAATGATTCTTCATCACATCCACTTAGCAACGTAGCAAATGCAATTATCTTACGGGTATGACGCATACACTAGGTTGGTAAAGTCCTTAGGTTCGAGACCTTAGGACTTGGTCTTTAGACCTGGTCTTTAAAGACCAAGTCAAAATTTCAGGACTTAGGTTCGTAGGTCTTTAAAAAGTCTTAATCTTTAGTCTATAAGATTTTTTGTAGTTGTACAGCGTTCTATCCTTTTAGTCAGGTATATATCATATTTCAAATAATTGCATTATCTGATCATATAGTCCATATGGAAATAGATTAGAAAATCACCATTTGAAAGTAAGTATCAAACGATAGTTTTCCTAATCTATTCCCCATATGCATATAAAGTCCTGGACTAGGCCTTAGACTGGATCTAGGTTAACTTAATTCCTAGGACTGGTTTTATGAAGACTTTGTCTGTAGGTTCATACAGTAAGACTTACAGTAAGACTTACAGTAAGACTTACAGGTTATATGGGCTAAGACCATCCCTAGTATACACTGACAGAAAAATTTTCATATTACTGCCGTAGAATTTATATTTTTTTAAGTGAATTATTTGTCCGTCAGTGTTTACATACCTGTCGGATAAATATAAATTATTTTAGTGTGAGATTTAAGAGAGAAATAAATCAACTAATTTGATAAGTTTTGATAACAAAAGATCTAAAACTTGATTGAATACATAGAATACAAAGTTTAACGTAGTATTTTATTAATCTTTATAAATAGCAAGTATAAAAAAAAATAGATTAAATGCTATTTATGTATATATGTTATACCAAAAGCATATTGATAAATTGTTAAATAAGTTAACAAAACTACGAAAAAAAATAAATAAATAATCAAAAATAAACATAAAAAATCTAATACAACAAAAAAAATGAAATTTAAAACACTGTGATATAAACACTGTGATATTTGCAACTTTACAAGGTAACAATCAATTTTAAAAGTAATAATGAGATCAACATTTATTTTTACGCGGAATTTACAAGACGTGCGAAATCCAAACTACTTTCGGTTTCGGCTCTTGCAGATTCTAATGGTGATATATGGACAAACATGAGAACTTTGGCATTACCACCTATTAAAACGGGAAAATAAATTATATTAATTATATTTTAACATTTTATTCAGGATATTTTATTCAGAATACCAAGATAACATAAATAGTGAATAAAAATAGTTAAACTCACGTAAAGAATTCTTCAAGAGCCAAGTTAAAGTAGAATTCCTAAAATTAATATGATCCGACTTTTCTTTGATACCTTGAATTACAGTTTTCAAATGACTTAAACTTGAATTAATATATCTAGCTTCTTGTAATTGATCACCCTGTGAACCAGATTTTGATAAACGTTCCGAACCAGCCAGATCAATTAAGTTCAGAGTTCCAATTCGATGTTCACCGGTAATTGTATTTGTACCCATTAATCGAATCATGAAAATACTATGACTTCGAGAAGAATTAGGATTAGATTTTGTTGATGCGACAGCCCTGTTTTTGGCAGCCATTTGCAAAACCCAATTAAGAGTAGCAACAGAATCGAGATTTACTATTTAATATAATATAAATTGAAAAAACAAAGTTATGTGATTAAATAAATAAATAAATTTATATGATTAAGCAAGCAAAATTCCAAATTTACAATTTTAAACATTTAATTTTTACCAGTCTTTGCCTTATTGACCATAGTTGTACCAGTTTGTTCATCATGAATAGTTCTGAATTTGAGACCACGATTATTAGAAGGATCGTCCGAGAGTAAATCACGGATATTATCATTGTAAATCTCGATAAATTGACCTTCTATTTCATATTCCCAACCTTGAGCCTTTAATTCATTAACATGATCAAATATTTGACGAACAGCACGTGGAATCATGCCTTCATTATAAATAGTTGGATCTTCTGGGCCTTGCATAGTATAAGTTTTACCAGAACAAGTTTGACCATATGCGAAAATACAACCATTAAAACCATCAACAACAGATTGAACTATAGGAGCAACATTAGTATATATTTCTTTTTGAGTTGCAGAAGGACCAAAGACTTTATCAAATTTATAGTCTTTAAAAGTTTCTCTTTCTACACCCCAATAATTTCTTTTAATAGAGGCGAGAGAAATTTTTTTTCCATAAGAATATGGAGGAAATCGAATATCAGCGATATCTTCACATTCAGATAATACAGGAGGACGTACTCGACAGAATACTTTAATATTTCCTTTTTGATCATTAAGATTTCGACGAGGGGGATCACGTTTTTTAAGTTTACGATGGTTAATAGATTTTTTATGAGATTGAGAAATGTTATTTGTAGATAAATCTAAATCATTTTTATAATGATTAACATCAGAATTCAAATTTGCATTTGCATTCATGGATTGCATAGCTTCACAATATTGTCGAATACTCATTAAACCATCTTTAATTTCAGCCATATGAGCATCTTTATAAGCAGTATGATCATTAATTTCTTCATAATCCATGAATTGATTATGATCAGCTTTATAATCAACTTCAGGAGTATCATCTTGAAATTGCATAGTATTATTAAGAGCTTCAATTTGTTCTTTGATATATAATTCAATCTTAGCTCTAAGTATTTCATTTCTTAAATTCATTACTTCCACCTCAGAAGAGGTAAGTTTTGACTTTGGAGGAAGATGTTTAGTTACAGGTTCGAGAGGTTCAGATTGATTTGTACGAAGAGAAGAGAAATTTTTCAAAGAACCAGTACATATAGTAGATCTTTTTGAAGGAACACTTGTAATACCATCATTTGGAATATTTCCAAAAGATCTTATATTTCTATGAAGTTCATCGGCTAAAAGTTCATCACTCTTCCGTTTTAAGGAGGGGGTTCGGGTATGATAGATAGACTGTGTTTTACGTCCTTTAGGGGTAAAAGAGACATCACAGCAGACCTCCTTCATCTCATTGCCAGTAGAGGTAGAATTTTCCGGAAATTTTGATAACTTAACTTTGGCAAATGAGGAATAATCATTGTATTCGAGATCAAGCAATTTAGAAGATGGAGCTTGGGGTTTTCTTATCTTGCGAGTAGTAGAGCCGACTTTATTAGCATTGCTTGAAGTAACTTTAAAAGGTTTATTCGAATACATTATGAAAATCTTTTTACTAATAAATGCAAAAAGAAATTACAAAGCGACAGAATGCTTTCTCGTAAAAAAGAATGCTTTCGTCAAATAAAAGAGAGTAAGTTTACTCGGGAAGAGTGATCGCAAGATAATTACTAAAAAGTGGGGTAAGGAAACGATCACGAAATTCAAGACATTTTATAGCTTTAATTAAACATGTGAATACAATATAATATAATATAATACAATATGATACAATATAATAAAATATAAAAGCAGTATAATAAATTTACGAAGACTGGACAGCACAAATGATTAATTAAGAATTTACGCAGTCAAACAAGGTTTAAGTATGAAGTGGTGGCATTAAACAGCATACACAATTATTATTAATGTACGTACGTGCTTAGAATAAACATTTTTAATCGGTCCATTATACCTCTTAATACAGATTTTTTGTAAACAAACAATGTACGTACGTACAAGCATACAATCTACTTATTTGGTTTAACTTTTTTTTTTTTTTATTCAAAGATTATTATTAATTATATATGTAAAAGAAATTTGTAAGGTCAATTAGCTTATCTTCGAATTCAAGACGTAAGAATAGTTTAATTATAAGCATTAAAAAAAGAATAATTTAAAACTATTTGTTATCAATATGCAGATATGCCAGGATTAAAATTAAAAATCATATGATATTAATTTGCATTCTGATTGGTTAAATCATAGTGAATGCAGGTTTCATTACAGTTTGTTGTACAAAATTCAGTAATTTTACTGGTTCCGAACCTTGAATTATAGGTCGGAAACCAATTGTAAAAAATTTAGACATTTCTTAGCTCGTATTCATTGTATTCAATAAGTTTTTTCTAGTAAGTAACCAATTAAAGTATTCAATATTCACCAAATAACTTTGTATTAATATGTATATAGAGTTTGATTTTTGGCTCTTAATAAAATATGTGAAAGCTTTATTTATAAATATGTCGGAATTAAGGCTTGCAGAATCATGAGTACACAAATAGTGAACAACGCATTCTTGAAAGAGAAATGATGCATTGAATAAAATTGACTACATATACGCTAACAAACAAATAAAAAAATATTTAACCATTTTCATTAATAGTAATAATAATAATAACGCAATAAATACGTAATAATTCCAAGTTGAACAATAAAAGAATTAGTTTTGTATGGTTCATTTCTTCCTAAGAGTACGCAATAAAATTTATATTTGTTCGTTGGTTCAAAAAAGATGGTTCCTGTTACACGGATGCATTATCGTAATTTAAACTATAGGAAGCTTATTTTTTTTAAATGCGACATGAAAATTGTTGGATACTTGTTAACTTTTTTTAGTTTCTATTATTCTCAGTAAATTGTGTGACATTTTTTATTTTTAGGTCAATGTATATTTTAATTTAAGTTAAGCGGATTTAGCATATAGTACATTTAAACATTTAAACATTTAAAACATTTAAACATTTAAAAATTTAAACATTTAAATATTTAAATTTTAAACATTTAAAAATTTAAACATAGAAGAATTATTTTATTCAAACCTAACTCTTAAACCTAACCTTAACTTATTCCAGTCATTAAAGTCAAAATTTAATTAAAATTCCAACTTGCAACATATACACTGTCACAAATTGAAAATTGTAACTGTTACTATTACTGAAATAGTCGAAAAATTTTGTATGCGAGGTCACTATGTAATGCCATGTAATAAAAAACAGCACAGACGGTACACGGTTGAGTTCTTGATCCATCTAGCCCATTTGTCTTGTCCCACTCTGAAAAAAAAAATAATACGCATCATTTTTGATCTATATAATTGAAATATGCAAATTATCACTATTTAAATTTATATATTGGTACGAGTTATAATCTTTAATGTTAAGATTTATTATTTTAACTCCAAAGTTTGTGCTAATTAAGTTATACGAAACCAGATTTAAAGTTGAAAAAGTTACTGGTTTATTTTAATAATTGCATATATAGAGATAAATAAAAGTTAATTGTAGTTACAAAAAAAAGTAAGCAATTTATATATTTAATAAAGCGAAATAAAGTTTTATATTACGTAGTTCCTGAATTAATGACTACTTAATATGTATCTTATTGATCGCATGTGTCAAAAACGATGTGTATTATTTTCTTTTCAGGGTGATCAAAAAAGGATCTAATGAGTCAAGAACAAGTTTTTTGCCTTGGGTGTTTTTTTTTAAAAATTATATATATATTCATTTTGGAAATGCATAAAATTTTATTTCTATACGTACAAATCGAATAAAATTAAAGTTTGGCTAAATAAAACTAAAAATTCAAAACGAATAACATTATTTAATACATTTTGTTTCTGTTAGACAAGTTAGAATGATTATAAGAGGTAAATTCAATATTTACACGAGAATCCTTTATGACATTGCGGTCTGCATACTTATTTACCTAATGCAAATAAGATCGTTACTTTG